CAGGATTGCAAAAGCCGCTTAGAAAACGTACCAGTTCAGCAGTGTCGGCTTCTGGCCCACCAGTTCGTATTAGCAGCTTGCATTCGGCAACAAAATCATCTACCTTGAATGCAACAAAAACATTTTGTCATAATTGACGGGCCATTCGATGACGTACCCGAGCTCCGACTGCTTTGAGGTTATCTTTGAGCGTTTTCAATTTTTCAGCTTGAGCTGTCGGATCCGAAACCGTGACAACCGCAGAAAGTGCCTCGGAATCACGCAGACCATTCAATTCGCCAATTAGTTCAGCCGCATTCCTGGGAAAATTTTTGAAATTCGGCCTCTTCAAAGACTATGCACTCCCATGTTCCACGAACTTATCACAAGGGGCACAAGTACAAGTTAGGGGTAATTAAAGCCACCAATACATTCAATGCTCAGCGCAGTAATAAAACCTACTTGTGCACGGCTTCCACTTCTCGAATAGCTTCCTCAATCTTCTTCTCTCGTTGACCCAACTTCTTTCGAGCTTTTTCAATCATCTGAACAGGTTTCACTGACCATGACCGTAAATATTCCAACAAAAATAATAAAATCGGCTGTAAAAAATATCCAGAAGATGGAACATGGGAACCATCGTTTTAGTCCCAAACTGCTAGGTCATCGTGATCGATGGGATGCCTCGAAAGCTGCAGTTGCCATTACACACGTCTGAGAGATAGTAATACCTTTGTGACATCGTCAGCCAGTGCTTGATTGTTTTCCATTTGAGGTTGACTGATCACACCCGCCGCCACACCTTTGTTCCATTCGTCTAACACAGACCGGAGTCGATCTTCACTTGCCTCCAAACGCTGTTCTATCGCTTTCACCTGATCCTGTTGAGCGTGAAGCTCGGCGATGTTACGAGCAACTGGATCGAGATCGCTCAATTCCTGTAATAGAGCTGATCAAAGTAGGAAGAGTAAAACAGTTGGTTGAAAGAATGTCGTAGACGCACCATGTACATGGCATTAACATCGTTCTTAACGCCACTGCTCATTTCTGACAACTTTTCCAGATCCTCTTTCTTTGCACTCAAAGCTGCTTCCAATCCTTGGAGCTCATTGCGCAGTGAGGCAAAGTCCTCATCAAGTTGAACCATGGTGTGATCGATGGCTTCGGCTTTTGATGGAATCACCGTCTACACTGAGCTTTACATTATTTTCATATGAAGGATACTTCAAACAGTTACCTTTTTCAGTTCATCAGCACAGACTGACAATTCGCGTTGTGATCGATTCCAGAATCCATTTATTTCAGCAAGTTCTACAACAATTATAACTAAAATTTCTACAGCAGAGAGAATACTTTTTAAGGCGAAGACGCTCACTGGCAACGACTCTTTCGACGCTGGTGATTTCTGCAGCTCCGGAGCTGAGTGCTTGTCGTTCTCCATCCACGACATGACGAGCCTCTTCTGCTAGTCGGTTGAACTTTTCCGCAAGGTCGACCTAGGAAAGTGTGGTAAATCTATCTGGAATCGCTCCAAAATTGGCTGCGAAAACAGCGTCGAAAAGATCCCAAATCATTCGTTTCCAAGACAATGAACAGCTTCACGTCACAAAGCTGACTCGCCACTTTCTAATGGAACCGACTTAGCGAACGTTACTATATTCGAAAAGGGTGCAAATGGCATAGCGTGATGCGGCGCTCTATCACACACGTGGTTCGGAGATGAAGATCCAGGTCCAACTCAGGCCAAAAAGCTTTTCCTTCTTACAGAGTTGGTCAATCAGTAACAGGTTCGCTTAGGAGGATAAAACACTGATTGCAATCGGCAGGGCACCGCAAAATCAATGTGTACACTACAATCTTGACAATCTTGGAAGGGTGTTAGTCCATTGCGAGGGAGCACCCTGAAACGTTCAATCAGACCCAGAAGACCTCACTTTTACCCTCAGACTGTTTAGCACTCAGAAATAGCTCAAATTACTTTTCGATAATAGCCCCGAGCTTTCATTAAGAGCTGCATCTCAGTACTTTAGCATTTTCAATCCCGTTCTCGGTGATCAGAGGTGTGGATCCAGGACTCGATCCCCGCACCACACTTGGGATAATGTGAACTATTGCCACATCAATCCCCCTTGAAGTAAGAGTAAGCCAAAAAAAAAATACCGAAGTGGAAACGCTGTGCTTTCAAATTATTCAGAAAATAGTCATGTACGAGGGGAGATAGTTGACAAGAAATTAAAAAAGGAAAAGGACATACTTTGCGTTGAGCAGCCTCAGTGGCCAGATTGATTCGTTTGCTGAGAGCTCCACAGTCATTTACGAAATTCTCAGCACTTCGAAGGAATTTGTTCGCCTCGGGTCCCGGAGCGGACGCGTTGATGCGCGTTGCAAGTGCTGCAAAAGTATAAACTATTCGACTGGCATTCTGATAGCGGACGACACTAACCATTAAGGCTGAGAGCATCGGCCATTCGACGTCCTGACACATTTTCCATCGACTTGAGAGCATTTTGCACAGCTGAACCATCTTCATTAGCGAGAACAGCAGCCAACTGAAATGGTTGGTAAAAGAGCATCCAGGCCAACTAGAAGCAACCAACAAGCTATCCTTTTTGAGAGCACCTCGTTTTCATCCTGAGCTATATTGTCGCGAAGGGTTTTCTCCAAACCTTCAAACTGCTTGACAAGGTCCAGAACCTATGAAATAAAGTTCGACATAATTCTCTGAAATTCCAAAAGTTTCCAGAATTTTATCACTTTCGATATCATCGCTTTTTTGTCCTTCACATTTGTGACAGTTGGGTTCCAATTATTTGCGAGATACTGCATTTTCAATTGTAATTCATCATCTGGCACCTTCTTCAAACGTTCCGTCACCATCGCCCTGCAAATTCTTGGCGTCTGATTGTAAGTTACCAGTAAATAACACTGAATATGCGATTACCTGACGTAAGGGAAATCTCCCTCGAGGTCACTGATTTTCACTAACAAGTCATTGATCGAGTCCAAATGCTCTTGAAGTCTGTTCCGTTCAGCAGAGATGGGTGGAGCCTGAATTCCCAAGTCAAAGAGAAATTACAATGAGATACAGAAGGCTGAGCGCCACCTCCTCGATTTCCGATCGCGCCTCGCGTGCGACGTCCAACAGAACTTCGAGTTTCTTTTCAATTTCATCACCTTCACTTCGAGAGGATACGGCAACGTTTTTCAACTGGTCCAGCTTCCGATTCATCTGAATACCATGCCATTTCGTCTTTGATCTGACCAAACTGGTCACAGGTGACAGAACGTAAAGGTACCTCATCGATTTTCTTTCTCATATTATTCATCTGTTCATCTAGATCGCCCTTATTCATCGAGTCGATTTCCAAATCACTCGAGGGATCGATCAGCTGGGACATGTGGTCGACTTGCTCAGAGAGGTCCACCAATTGCGATTTGAAGGCTGACAATTCCTGAAAAGCGGATTTCAAAAGGCACTTTACCAAACGTCAAGCAAAGGGAATATAATAGCTGGCTTAGAAAAACATTCAAATTCTTACGCCCAGTCGAGCCTCCACTTCTGATGGCAATAGCGCTCCAAACTTTTCAATATCTGATTCCAAAACAGCGACATCATTCCTGAAACCGAAACGCCAATTCGGTCCAATCGGCAAGAAATGAATAAACTAATAAACAACAACAAGCAAACATTGACGCCACGAAGAAAAATGACTAACATGACGGCTTTTTGCATGGATTTGATTTCGGCACCCAAATCCGAGGCTCGTTGAACGTTGCGTTCTTTGTCGGTCAGTTCTTTCTCGAATGATGCCCACCCAGAATTTAACTCATTCATCTGAAAAACGCCACTATTTTGTAAAATAAACCTTCCCAAATCGCTTGATCCCAATATCTCACCATGGGAGCGAGGCCAGTTGATGATGCTCCAGGGAGTGACTCCAGCATTTCCTTGAGCTTTTTGTAGCTGGCTCGTTCCCCATCCATTTCCGCGCTTATGATCTCAAAAAAACCACTTCGACTTCTGGGTACGAAAAAAACTTGTAAGCCAGAACACACCTGAATTTGCCCCATTTGGGACTTTGCAATTGCTGCGTCAGTCGTAGGGGCTCCTATGGCCAAAAGCATTCGACGCTTTGAGGACAACCATTTCTCTAGTGCAGCATGTCCTTCAATCCACTTCTCGGCCACAGACACGCGTTCCCGCGTGGCTTCAATAAGGGGAAGTACAGGAAATCATATATAGAAGAGGGCATGGTGCGAAACCCTTGGGATACATACCTTCCATGAGGTCTGTGAGTTGGTCCCATTTCTCCGACAGCAACTGGTGTCGTTCAAGCAACCGCTCACCCTCTCCAACCGAGCGAGCATCAGCTGCCAGCTCTCGGCCACGTAGGCGAATCTTGAAAGGTACCCGTTATGGAATGTTACCGAGTCGCCAAGATCGTTGTAAACGCCCCTATTAAGTGACACTGAGAAGAAAGATTTCCGACATTTTGACTAGCTCAATGCGTACGGCGATTTACTTTTCACTTTTAACTACCTGTATTAGATGACAGGTAGTAATAGTTATATAGAGATTCTGACTTCCAATATTAAACCCCTAGATAAGTTACAAACAATGTTCCGGGTTCNTTTCACGGAGAAAATCTAAAGCTGCTAATGAACATAACGCTGAAAGAGACAGCGACCTGGAAGCACCTGAAGTTGCTCGATCTTGAGATCCCGAATCGTCCTAATGATGTAACAAATATGGCGAGTTCCCCGTTGGTACTCGTACAAGTATTTCGCTACGTCAATAAACCTCAAAAGACCAATTACTGGTCACTGCATCGAAAAACCACGTAATTGACCTCATGCGATATGTCTACATATAAAAACTATTTTTCCTGCCTTAGAGAGAGTATTAGAACTGGTTTAAGATGGATCTTTGAGGATCAGAAAGAGTAAATTTCCGAATATTAGCGAATTCGCTGAAATGATCGAGAAAGCCAACAACGCATATCAGCTCACATCATCAAGCCGTCGCTGTTCTTGTCTTTTCGCCTTTGACATACGGTCCAGTGTAGCCAGTAGAGCATTCACTGCGTCGATTGATGTGGGCACATCGTAATCCGTCTATAATCGAAATAAAAATGTATTCAAACAGAAAGTATCTATATATTCACGCTGTTCGTTCTTAGGAACAGTTTCCATACTAACTGATACGCAAGATCATTTCCAGCGGTTGACAGCCAGCCAAGGCTAACAACTCCAGCCTTGACTGGATGTTAGAAGCTCAACGGCACCTTCGGGCGACTGCTCGAAAAGTTTGAAATTATGGATATCAAAACAATACACAAACCAGTATTTTCGTCTGCGACGATATCCAAGAGGATAACTCGTCCTCAGCGGCTAACAATTCAACTGCCTTCTGATCCGCAGTGTTGATTCGTTCAGCTCGTGATCGCAACGCATCCGCTTGAGCGTTGTACCTACAAAAAGCCATTGAAGGAGTGAGCCACGGAAATTCGCTCATCAGTCTTACTTTGCCACAAGTTCCATTGCGATACGTGGAGTCGCACTCAATCTATTTCCACCACTTTCGCGTTCAGCTTCGACCAGCCGCATTGAAACAGCTTCCAGATCCTCCAATCGAACGAGACCTTCAACGAGAACTCAATGAGCTAATATAACTAGAACATTGCCAACTTCTGTAAGTACCTTCTTTATGCTTCTCAGCCAGAGCTAGTTGTTCTTTGCGTTGTTCCGTCAGCCTGTCGTGGTCGATGGATACAGGCTTCAACTCCAGAAGTTCAGCATCAAAGCTACTTATCCACTCGGCCATTCTAAAAAGGACACTGTCGATAGGTAGCAAGGTCGACAGTGAAGCGTTCTCAACCGTTTCTGCTGGAAGGGTGCCGGTGGCGGTTTGTTCTGAACATGGAAAACCAGGAAGTGATAACTGAGAACCTCAAGCGGTTCGAAGGCAACTCATAGGACAGTTTGGGATGGCATGAAAGTGTAAGCACTCGTCTGTACTTTGTCGCAGGAGATGGAGCCAAACGAACCTACCGCGAAATGGAGTTCCATTTAGAGATGGACCACGGTCATGAAAGAGTTCAACCCAGCAAACATACTCCGATAGACGCTAGTTCACTGGTATCACTCAGACAGTACTTAAATCAACTGCCCCCCCCCCCCCCCCCC